GTCCGGGCGTTGAACGTCGCTGATGCAAATGCGTCAGTCTCCCCTCCCCCTCGGCAACTGATCATTATTACAATGATAAGCTAATCTTGGTGTAGATCTACGTAATGAATTGTGCTCTGGTCGATGGAATCAAAAGTTGCCGTATGCTAGGCTCTACACAGCAACACAACTTTTTGGTAAACAATCGAAATGACACTCGTGTGTTCATTTGAACGAATCCGTCTTTTTTTACACAGCTCATAATATGCAGGCATTTCAGGCACTACTTGTGATTTCTCTTTATACATTACTTGCTCAGTGCCTGTAATTATTTACACAAAACCTCGTGTTTTCTATAACGAATACTCGGATTCAACTAGATTTTAGGACAGGCCAGGCGACCACGTTGAATCCGAGTTCCACTGTAGTAGGCGCGCCTGCGCTGTGTCAATTTGACACAATTGGGGTAAAAATGGTTATGGTTTAATTTTTTTTTTCAATTCAGCCAATGACATCAATTGCAGAGGGAAAATGTTCGGTATTGTAGATTTGAGAAAGCTTGACTAGTTACTCGTTAACCTTCACAAGTGATGGGTCGTCAAATGGAACAGAAACGTCCTGATAGACTTGCCATCACCGGTTATTCTTCTTTTTTTATGTTAGGATACTTCTGCAAAAGCTTGTTCACTTTCGTCTGTCCGCTCTAAAAAATGAAAATAAAATTTTTAGATCTAGCTCATTCATTAATTTCCCTATGCCCTTGGAACATTTTGCTTGGCACTTCTCGCAGACTGGCTATCGAACAAAAATATTTTATTAATAAATTATAAACTCGAGTTTCTCCGGCACCATTTGGAATGAATTAAAAACCGATTTGAGTGCATACACACAGGATCACTACCAAGATAAATGATTAACATTAACAGTAACCGAGCCTACAAATGGCTCATTTTGAGACGGCGACACTGTACCCTACCTCCACGTTTGAAGATTTCGTCCCACGACTGTCTCGATACGTCTTTCACGTGAGTCTTGAGAAGTACTCACCTGTCTGTTGGCTTCTTTGGCGTACGTTTAAAAAATGATGTTGATGAAGGTATGTCAACTTTAAAATGTTTTAGATGTATTCTGTAAATCCCCAATTATTTTTTGACCCACATTAGACTAAACATCAAAGAAACGGTGTCGGAACTTTAGTTTGCAGTGATCTTTGTGAATGGGCTTTTCGGGCTTTTAAAAAAAAGATTAAATTGATCTTCCAACTTTTTGACCCGTATGCAAGGAACTGAGGATATATATATATATATGTAGATAGATAGATAGATAGATAGATAGATATGTGTGCGTGTGTTTGTGTTGTGTATAATATCATGGGTCTGAGCAGATGAGCAGATTTAACGGAATGATTTGATATGATCTTGTTTTAGTCGCGGTCAGACGAAAGTGAACAAGCTATAGGACTATGTGCCGCGTGTGTGATGTAGCGGTTACGCATACAGGATGCCCGAGTGGGGATAATTTTTACCGGGTATCGATCTTGGTCTTCGGCTGTTGGATCTCTCTCAGCCTGGGTTCGCCCTGACGGCGGAAGATTTCGGAGACGTCACCGGCGAGCACCCAGGAACTATTCGGAACGTACTCCCGCTCACAGATGCACTGCTGTGGGGGTCAAACTGCGTGTTGTTTGCTGCAGATCACACATATAGCCACTAAAACTGTCGCAATCAGTTATCTTCCAGAAAATTTTGAACTTAGCTTTAAAATATCGATTTATAGGTTAAACACCCTGCTTGCAATCCGCGAAGCCACTTACGTCAGAAAAAGAGAGAGGGGGAGAGTGAGAGATCTCGCCCACAGAGTCACTGCGC